GCCAAGGTTCCCTACCCCTGACATAGACTAAAGATGGAGAAGTTAAAAAGTATACACAGGTGTTCAATAAGAATAAAAAGCCTATTCATGACTACGCTAGATATACGTGAGGAAACAATCAAGTCCAAAAGCCGCTAGTGACTGCCCCCGTTCTGAAGCCAGTGACTGTCACTGTGGATGTGTTCAACCTGGAGAAGGGCTGGTCCCATTTACAAAAACAAGACTACTAGGATTCCAAGTTTCAAGTCTTGGCTTTCAAAATGGAGCCAATATGTTATAAAACAGGAAGTGTAATTTATAATAATCTATGGCAGGGGTATCAAACTGCCGGCCCGCAGGCCGGATGCATCATAGCAAAACCGCGCCCACCCCATTGCCGGCAATGGGAAAAAAGTCGCGATACGTCACGACACGTCACATGACGTTGCAAGTTTGACACCCCTGATTTATGGCATTTAAAAAGGTACCTTCATAGTTCAGTGCCTCATTTTCTTCCTTGTGCCACAAAATAAAAGTTTTTGACAAGCTACACTGTCTATGCACACTTTAGGATAAGACTGTTTAATTCCCATCTCACAATTCTCGGACATACCGTATTTGCAGCAAGTCTACAAACTGATGTGAATTGTCTAAAATGGCTAATTACGGGCAGGCTGTGAATCAACCCTTAAAATAGAAAGCAGAAGATTTCACACTTCCTTGATCTAGGCATGCATGCAAAAACAAGTCTGTTAATTCCACGTTACTTTCCATTATAAGCTATCGTATTTTGGGAACTTCCCAAATCATTTCAGAAGAACTACAGGGAATTTCCTGTCATGCTTGTTGACTGGAGTTAATCCTGTTGCCCTTGAACTCTACAGCGAGAGCCTTTACCCCTGCCAAGTTAATGTGGTCCCAATCTTTCTTAGCCCTGACAGAAAACTATATCATCATAAAATTATTGCCCCAGTGCCAATTCCTATCCTGCCCTGGTTTAGGGGATAGATCCAGCAAGGCCAGCAACTAATAACATGAAAATATACTGGTCTCAACTACTCCCCCCATGCAAAAGTGAGAGGCTGGCCCTGGCCCTTAAGAACATTTATCAGACATGGGGAGATATACAAGCATCACCCTAATGTGCCAATACAGTACATGCTAGGTTGATCTCCCTCCCCCAAACATCATTCGTCTTTGCATTGACAAGAATGGTCAGTGAAACATTGGAACACACTCTTGTTAAAACTAGATGGGTTGTCGCCTTCTTAAGGAAGAAAAGACAGCTTTAACACTAGAAGAATTAAAAAGTTGCCTCAGATATGGGTTGAGGATGAGATGAAGAAATGGCAGAGAGAGAAAAAGAGGCTGCCAGGATCTGCCTCGCTGTTAGCTGGAAAGAGGGCAATGGTGTGTCCTTCCACTGTATTCTGCCCCTCCCAAATCCATCTTGTTATATTCCATTAGAGGTTTCCTCCAAACTTTGGTGGCTGGGTCATGTTTGAATGAAGACTTGAAACACTTCCTGATTTTATTTTAAAACTCCCATCCTGCTATATTTTATTCATGTCTAACTGTGTCTGCTTGGAGAACAGAAAAAGCAAGCTATAATTTTAAATCAAAACTAATGTTAAGGAACTGGCAGCCAGGGCTTAGTAACCATTACAATTATTCCTCTTTGCCTTATTTCTTTTGTACAGGTAGTCCTCGACTTACAGCAGCTCTTTTAGTGACCGTTGAGTACAGTTCAGTACAACGGCAGTGAAAAAAGTGACTTATGGCCGTTTGCACACTTAGGACCATTGTAGACCATGGTCACATGATCAAAATTCAGACACTTAACAACTGAGTCACATTTATGACGGTCACAGCATCCCGGGATGCTGTGACCTCCTTTTGAGACCTTCTGACAAGCAAAGTCAACGGGGAAGCCAAATTCACTTAACAACCGTGTTACTAACTTAATAACTGCAGTGATTCACTGAACAAGAAAGGTCGTAAAATGAGGCAAAACTCACTTAACAAATATCTCACTTAACAACAAATTTGAAACAACAAATAACAAAACTGAACCCAAAACAAATTTTGGGTTCAATTGTGGTTGTAAGTCGAGGATTACCCCTATATTTTTAAAGCAGAGATTGGCCAGTAGATTCCTATTTAGACTCACTGAATTCCATCCTCCAACATCAACCTTTACGCCTTTCCCCCTTACACATAATTATGGCACAACCATGCTGAAGCCATATCTTTCCTCTGCCATTCCCCATGAAGTTCCCTTTATCTCATCCCCAGTCCATGAATGAGACAGGCTGAAGCTGCTAACCTCACTGCACTGGTATTCAAGTATTCTTTTCCCCATTATTTTGATACTACCGTAGACATTACAAGCTGTAGGCTGTTACACAGCATCTAGGAAGGAAGACAGAAGACTGCAGTCATTTGACACAAAAGACTTTCCCCCACTCTTGAGCTGAAATAGCATCTATTACCTTGCAGTCAGCAGAAAACTACACTGGCATACGAAGTCCCCACTGACAACCCTTATCCAGTTATTGGAACAATTTAGAATAGCTTAGAAAGTGGAGTTCATGACAGATTTCATCTCAAGGAAAAATAAATGCTAGTTGAGTAATATTACAGCCACCATGAATTCTCTCATGGACTTTCTGGCAGTACACAACCGAAATTTGTTCCCAAAGAGATTCATAGCTGAAATCTCATCGATCCCTACCTCCAAACTATATTTGAAGAAGTGTGAGGATTGTCTACTCAAATTTCAGCATTAGCAGAGGATCAGAGTCCAGAAACCAAGGTAATATTGAACCATGTTATTTATTACTGCTATTGCCTACTAGTTTACCTTGCTTCCTCAGAGAATGTTGAGTACCTCCTACTCTTTGCTTTCAACTAGGTAACAAAGCCATGCGCTGTCTCTTATACATATTTGACCTTCAGCTACATCCTAATACAGAAGGTTATGGCAGATTTCTGGAAGAACTCATGTTCTCCACACATTAGTAGCATTCACATGGATGAAGAGGAAGGCCAGGCTATTACGTGGTTCATAATGAAACAGGATACACACTTGCTATCCAACTTGGGAACTGAAAGAGAACTGTGGTTCTTAGCTTTAGTAAATGCACAGCTTTTACCCATAGTCCTTATTGTTGACAGGATGTGCATGGACACCCATTGTGTGTGGGGATACAATTCTCTGGAAGTGGGATATTATTCTCAGACAGTTCTGCCTAGCCATAATACGTCAGAGGCTGCTGGTTTATCACTGGATTAGGTCAGCACTGTGCAACATGGCCTGTGCCTATGATTCAGCTTTAAGAACCAAGCAATATATCTTGGTTTCTAACAAGTGGAATTTGATCCAAGCACCTTTTTCACAAACCTGCTCAGATTTTGACTTGCTTGTTGCAGTGAACTTGTTGCATTTAGATTTAAGAGGCCTGAATTAAATTCAATAATGTACTTCAGGTAACCAGTAACTCTCAGCTAATAATTTTCCTTATGGGAGTATTATGAAAGCAAAACAACAGAAATGTGAATATGCCATTCAGAATCAAGACATTGTCAAACTTGAGAATACAAAAGCAAAAATGTCATTTGTTCTCCAGTACATGAGAAGATTTGGTGTTAATACACATGATCTGCAGACTAACTGAATCTCAGATGTCTGAGTAATAAAAAAGGATCTGAAATTCTACAGCTTAATTTGTGCCAAACTACTTGGTTTTTTTTATCACACTTACAATACAAAGTCCCAGAATTCCCTATTTGAAAAACACTGCTCTGTAGGATCAGAGAACTGGCACCAAAGGATCTTATCCTTGATGCATCTCTCTCTCCCCTTTCTCACTTCTCTTGCCAGGGTGTGCAAGAGAGGGGAAGGATAGAGGAAAAGCATATATCTTGGGTGTCAGTTGGATTGAAGAGCATTGGACACATAGTGAAACATATATTCAGCTGTCCTCAGTGGACACATGTCAAAAAATGGCCTCACCCAAACCTTTGAAACAGGAAGCAGTTGCACCCTGGAGGGTGGCACTAACAAGCTGCTTCCCTCCCACTTCCCTTCCCCCAACAGTTCTCCAACTGTGGAAGATCTCTGGATAGGAGACCTAGTGCCCAAAGAGCTGCTCTCCCCCCCCCCCCAGCAAAGTTACCTTGCCATCCTTCCCAGCCCTAATAACTTGGAGATCTGCTGCCAGATCTGGCCTAGTTTGCAAAATAAGTTGGGAGCCGGGAGTCACTTTTGCAGAGTCAGAGAGTCCTGACTATTCAGACGCCCATGAAAAAAGGAGGGGGGCAGTGCATGTTCACGGCAGCCTTCGGTGACCCCCAAAACAGGACAGGTGGTCCTCCTCCCATGCCTTACCTTACTTGGGGGCCACGTGTTGCAGACCATCCGAATGGACTGTGTTTGGTCTGGAACACCCCCCACCCTGCGTTCGTTAGAAATAGATCAAGCGAAAACACGAGGGCAGGCTCTCAAGGGTATGCCGAAGAGCCTGTATTCCGTCCAGGTGTTTCTGAAAGGTTTTCCAAGGCTCTTCTTCCTCCTGCCTAGGCCTGGAGGGAGCGGGAAGAAGTCTTAGTCACCCATTGCTTTATTGAAAGAATCGACCTATTGTCACGGACGGAGGGACGACTATAATTCTGCGTATTCTATGGAAAGACAAACACGGGGAAGCCCTTATCAGTGATACGTCGCCTCTTAGCTGATGATTGACTCCCTTGGCAAAGATGACCGGACCAGGTAAGGACGGAGGTGGGGGAAAAATATTCTGACTCAGCTTCCCCCTCGAATTGCTGGTCATTGGGCCAGCTTCTTCTGATTGGCTGATCGGTGCCCAACTCTATGTTTCATTGGCTACCCACCTTCCCTATAAGGACTCTCTGCCCGCCCGCTGTATTAATTGAGCCGGCGGGTGGGGACGCTGGGATTTTGCTGCAAGTCGTGAGCGCTGGTGTTGTAGCTGCCGCCGCCCGCTTCGTTTACCATCGCCATGAGGGAGAGAAGGACTCCTCAGCCAGTAGTGGCCCGGTGCAAGTTGGTTCTGGTGGGGGATGTACATTGCGGCAAGACGGCCATGCTTCAGGTGCTGGCCAAAGACTGCTACCCGGAGGTAAGAGGAAAAAGCCGGGCTCCTCTGCGATTGCGGGAGGGCGGAAGAGTTCTCTTGCGCTTCCCAGCGGCTTTGGCATCCGCGCTCTCTTTTGCCTCTCTCCTCGTTTCACGGGGAATTGGACCCGATCCTCATGCGGGGTACCTCGGAGGGGCTTCTTGCCATGCGGTTTTCCCTCCGGCCAGGAGATCAACTTTGCTCAGATGGCATCACGTGGCTTGTAGCCCTTCTCTGGTCTTACCTAACCCCCCCAGTCTGTTGCAAAGCATCGCTTTCCGCCTCTGCGCAGATTTCGCGCCCCTTTGTAGCTTGCCTTGGAGTACTTTGCGCGCGAAGGGTCTCTGTTGCTTTCGGGGCGGTTGCGGGCTGCTGCCATTTCATGTTTTCAGCCTGTCGGCATTCCCTCCCTTTCTTGCAATCGGCTTGAGTTGCAGAGCTATTCACCGATTATCTCTGCAGCTGCTTGATGGTAATTATGATTTCGGGCTGTGTGCAAGTCCTGCGCAGGAGCTGACCCCCATCTCCGTTTCTGCTCATGTATTCCCTTTTGGGGCTAGGAAAGCCATTTTGGCAAAGCCCCCTTCTTGTTCCAACAAACGCACATGCAATATAAACACTGCTGAGTTCACCCGGTGACTCTTCTCTATCTTCCCTTTATTCTAGACCTATGTGCCCACTGTTTTTGAGAACTACACAGCATGCCTGGAAACGGAGGAGCAACGGGTGGAGCTCAGTCTGTGGGACACATCTGGTAAGGCATCTCTTTCCTTCTGTGCTTGTCTGCTGCTCTGGACCAACCAACATCCTCTCCTCATGCTGCAATGGAGTGGTGTAACTGAATGACTAGCTTGTGTAGAACCTGTTAGCTGGCCAAGAGATATCAATATTGAAAATCATTTGCTATGGATACTGCTTGGTGAATGAAATGAGAAGGAGATCTTGTCTGTTTCCAATGGAGGTAGGGGAGGTAGAAGACTTTATAGTCTATTTAGTTTTGAGGTCATGAAGACTATACTGCAGGTAGAAGATACTTTCTGTCATAACTAGGAAGGAACAATACATGGCCTGGCTGTAGGTAGTTTTGAGGCAAGTCAGAATGTATATGTGTATTTCAAAGCTTTAGCACAAAGAAAGAATGTGTTTTGCACATTGTAGTGTTGCAGTCTTGGAATGGCAGGAGACATTTTTGCATATATATGCAGAAACAAATCTGCCTCAAGGGTTTGTATTGGGGTGTGGGTGTGATGGGGGACTAGAAGAGATTGGTAAGAGTAAGATTTTTAGGGCTTGCGTCTTGACCAAATACCCCAGGGAAGTGGCTCTAAACATTTATTTTGAGATTTCAAACCTTGGCTAAAGACTTTCTCTAGCTCCTTAAATAAGATGTTCTGGTATCCCAGGCTTTAAGTAAAAATGCAGCAGTCCCACCCCTTCTACCGCTCACACCTGCTTTTTCCCCAGTCCTTCTGATAAATCCTGTGAAGGCTGCTGAGCCCCCTCCCATCTATTTTCTCCATCCCTTCATTTCTTCTCTCCTGGAATTTGGGAGGGGGGAAGTTGATTTTCCCATTGTTTAGGCACATTGAGGAAGAATCCCGGGGCAAGGGGGTTCAATGGATTCTGCAAGAGAAATCAAGAGGGGAAAGCAATCCTTTACAATAAGGGGCTCTTGAAAGTATTGTACGGGTGGTGGAGGAGGTGCCAAGTAAAGAGTTCTCCTAGCAACTAGGAATGGGCATCATCCCCTCTTTTGAAGGGGACTGTAAGTGGGGGACCCTGGCTATTTGGATCCCCTTGTTGCCATGGTGATCGTGCTGGTGCAGGGAACCAGGGGCTGATTGCTATTCTAGGCACGAAGTGTCTGGGCTGCAGAAACATTTTGGATGCTGCGGTTCCTGGGGGGGGGGGAGAGAATAGCCTGTGTATATTATTCATCTCCTCTCCCCCACTTTGCAGCCATCCAATAATACATTGCCGTAGTCCATTCTATGTTCCTGCATGCATGGCATGCCTGGAACACACACAACTCAATTTTTCTCCATGTTTAATGAGAAATGTTACTAGGCAACTCCATTCTTCCCCGTAAGCTGCATACCCTCCTCATAAATCTCTATAAATGGAAAAGCCTGTACCCCTTTTTCACATTCAGTATTGCTTACATGACAGGTGTGAAAAGAGGAAATGGCCTTTGTTATGTAAAACATGGTCAAATTATTTCCTGAGGATATTAAGGATGGGAATGAGTAAGCAAAGCCCTGCAGATTTGATTCCTGTTACTTTTTCATGTTAGTCCTTTTTTGGGGGGGGGGGGGGTGTTAAAAGCACAAAACCTGGCGGTGCATTGGGCAGTTCTATCATCTGGCATTAGAGCAAGCAACTTTTTTTCTCAACGATATTGGCAAAGGGGAAGAGAGGATGTGTTGAGTCGCTTCATGGCTTTTCTTGCTGCTTCTCATAGGATCCCCATACTATGACAACGTGCGCCCCCTATGCTACAGTGACTCAGATGCTGTCCTGCTCTGCTTTGATGTTAGTCGCCCCGAGACCATGGATAGTGCATTGAAGAAGGTAAGGGAAATATTAGTGACTTTGAGGCGCTGAGGAGGAGAAGCTACATCGTCAAATGTAGGACGGACCAGGACAAAGAAGTAGCTACAGTTTTTAAAACCCTACTTCAAATGTAATTTACATACAGTAGTTTTAAATACAGTTCATATAAGTGCTCACTTTGTATGGCGCCATTTTGCTTTTTTTGCCACAGAATAAATTTCATTGTGGTAGCAAGCATTTTGAACACTCTGGAACTTGTATGTAGGCCTCTAAAAGGATTGCAGGAAGAACCGCTTGTCATATTTTGAGAAGAAAATTCTACACTTTTTTTTTAATGTGCCTCACTGTAAACAATATCACAACTAAGTTTCAGACTCTGAGGTTTTCCTACTAGGTACTTTCAATGCCACATTTGTAAGAAATGTCACCCCGTAAGTTTCTTTCCCTAATTTTAGAAGAATGCGTTTTCTGTTCAGTGCAACTCAGTTCAGAATTAGAACTGTTGAGATCAAGGAAGCTATAGTGATTTCTTCTGTGTACATTTGAAAGGATCTTAATATTTCACATAGGACATTTGATATTTTAAAAAGCCTGCATTCATTGTGGCAAAAAGGAAAATGGCGGCACCCAATTGTTTAATTACTTTGCTTTATGATGTATTTTTTAAAAACTGGGCCTGGATAGAAGGACATTGCAATGATGAAGTAGGGCAGTTTCTCTACCAAGATATGCTTTTAAGACTTGTATTAAATGACTTTAACGTTTCTTCACTGTGCTCTTTCTTTCCAGTGGAAGACTGAAATCTTGGACTATTGTCACAATACCCGTGTGCTGCTGATAGGATGCAAGACAGACCTGCGTACCGACTTCAGCACCCTGATGGAATTGTCCCACCAAAAGCAAGCCCCAGTCTCTTATGAACAGGTGAGGAAATGCAGGATGCTGATGCTGGGTCTGGATATCTATTGCAATTCATTCTTTCAACCCAGGCCCTTCCTGGCGTATCAGGCTTCCTCATTTTCAAACTTGCTCTAGTTTACCTTTTTTTTCTTTTTCCTAAAATGATTAAAATAGTATCAGGAATGCTAGACTTAGACTTGCATATGCTAATGAGCTTGTCATCTTTCACCTTCAAGTATTGCTGTGTTGTTGAAACTGCCTGGAATGAAGCATTACTTCTATAAGAATGTAAGACCTCTGCTGGATCGCAATTCCTGCAAACACACTGTTGTCAAAGTCACATACTTGAGATGGGTTGCCATGTAAAATCTAAATCCATAAAATTAGTCCAGTGATGATGATTCTAGGCCAGAGGTAGAAACATGGTTATACTCTAAATCAGGGATAGGCAACCTTGGCTCTTTTATGACTTGTGGACTTCAACTCCCAGAATTCCTGAGCCAGCCATGCTGAGGGGAAAGGGAGAAGTTTCCAAGCTGAGCCATGCTGGCTCAGGAATTCTGGGAGTTGAAGTACACGAGTCAGAAAAGAGCCAAGGTTGCCTACCCCTGCTCTAAATGGTTTTGGACCGGTAGTTTTACTAAAATTAATCAGGAAAACTGAAAACTAAGAGCCATGGCAGGGCAGCGGTTAGAATGCAGTATTGCAGGTTAATTCTGCTCACTGGCTGGCTCAAGGTTGACTCAGCCTTCTGTCCTTCTGAGGTTGGTAAAATGAGGATCCAGATTGTTGGGGTCAATATGCTGATTCTGCAAACTGCTTAGAGAGGGCTGTAAAGCACTGTGAAGCGGTCTATAAATCTAAGTGCTATTGCTATTCTGAGAACTGGAGTCTAAAATCCTAGAGGACCCTAGATTTCTATTCTAAACTGCATTGCATCAGCATTTGCGGCTACTGTTCTCTTCTTTGTGAAAGGAACTTTAAAAGACCCCCGATCGAGTGAGAAAAATGCTCTTTCATAGAAAGCAAAAGGTCATTTTACTTGGTCAGCTCCAGAAGGATGAGGATAAAAGTCCTCATGGGGACCCCTTATTGGTCTACGGCCCCTGAAGACCCTACCGTGAGACCGATGGATATTCTGCAACAGCCCTAAAGGGAGTCCTAATGCCTCCTTTCCTTTCCAGGGTNCAATGAGATCGGCTCTTCTATATTTTGAGCCCATTTTATCATACAATCCTTTACCAATTCTGTTTCCGAGTCCATTTCAACCAATACTCCATAAATTCTTTTTATATGAGCTTGAGATTGGTCTCTAATCTGTTTAATCAAATTCACATCTTGTACCATAATGCCAGCTTTTTGATCCAAACTCCACCTCATGGACAATGCCACATTTGTAAGAAATGTCACCCCGTAAGTTTCTTTCCCTAATTTTAGAAGAATGGGTTTTCTGTTCGGTGCAACTCAGTTCAGAATTAGAATTGTTGAGATCAAAGAAGCTATAGTGATTTCTTCTGTGTACATTTGAAAAGATCTTAATATTTCACATAGGACATTTGATATTTTAAAAAGCCTGCATTCATTGTGGCAAAAAGGAAAATGGCGGCACCCAATTGTTTAATTACTTTGCTTTATGATGTATTTTTTAAAAACTGGGCCTGGATAGAAGGACATTGCAGTGATGAAGTAGGGCAGTTTCTCTACCAAGATGTGCTTTTAAGACTTGTATTAAATGACTTTAACGTTTCTTCACTGTGCTCTTTCTTTCCAGTGGAAGACTGAAATCTTGGACTATTGTCACAATACCCGTGTGCTGCTGATAGGATGCAAGACAGACCTGCGTACCGACTTCAGCACCCTGATGGAATTGTCCCACCAAAAGCAAGCCCCAGTCTCTTATGAACAGGTGAGGAAATGCAGGATGCTGATGCTGGGTCTGGATATCTATTGCAATTCATTCTTTCAGCCCAGGCCCTTCCTGGAGTATCAGGCTTCCTCATTTTCAAACTTGCTCTAGTTTACCTTTTTTTTCTTTTTCCTAAAATGATTAAAATAGTATCAGGAATGCTAGACTTAGACTTGCATATGCTAATGAGCTTGTCATCTTTCACCTTCAAGTATTGCTGTGTTGTTGAAACTGCCTGGAATGAAGCATTACTTCTATAAGAATATAAGACCTCTGCTGGATCGCAATTCCTGCAAACACACTGTTGGCAAAGTCACATACTTGAGATGGGTTGCCATGTAAAATCTAAATCCATAAAATTAGTCCAGTGATGATGATTCTAGGCCAGACGTAGAAACATGGTTATACTCTAAATCAGGGATAGGCAACCTTGGCTCTTTTATGACTTGTGGACTTCAGCTCCCAGAATTCCTGAGCCAGCCATGCTGAGGGGAAAGGGAGAAGTTTTCAAGCTGAGCCACGCTGGCTCAGGAATTCTGGGAGTTGAAGTACACGAGTCAGAAAAGAGCCAAGGTTGCCTACCCCTGCTCTAAATGGTTTTGGACCGGTAGTTTTACTAAAATTAATCAGGAAAACTGAAAACTAAGAGCCATGGCAGGGCAGCGGTTAGAATGCAGTATTGCAGGTTAATTCTGCTCACTGGCTGGCTCAAGGTTGACTCAGCCTTCTGTTCTTCTGAGGTCGGTAAAATGAGGATCCAGATTGTTGGGGGCAATATGCTGATTCTGCAAACTGCTTAGAGAGGGCTGTAAAGCACTGTGAAGCGGTCTATAAATCTAAGTGCTATTGCTATTCTGAGAACTGGAGTCTAAAATCCTAGAGGACCCTAGATTTCTATTCTAAACTGCATTGCATCAGCATTTGCGGCTACTGTTCTCTTCTTTGTGAAAGGAACTTTAAAAGACGGGGGCTAGCTCACTCTTTTTACGAGAAAGTATCTTTCGTTTTCCAGTAAAATGAACCAGTCGAGGTCTTCCTACTCCTATTTTCAGGAGTACCCCTGGGGAATAACCAGATGCCGGGGACTTCTGGGATGGCACTCTGGCTACCTATAAGACGTTGTCGGGATTTCCCTCAGGATTACGGAGGAAAGGAAAGGTCCCATGTTCTGTAGCCAAGCAGCTGGGAGCAGAAAGTTACCTGGAATGCTCTGCCTTCACATCAGAGAAGAGCGTCCACAGCATCTTCCGGACAGTGGCGTCCCTCTGCCTCACCAAGCCTGGCCTCCCAGGGCCCCCCAAGAGCCCTGCCCGAAGTTTTCCCAAGAGACTTCTCCGTCTTCCCAGCCGATCGGAGCTCATTTCTTCCACTTTTAAGAAGGAGAAAGCAAAAAGTTGTTCTGTCATGTGAAGGGCCGGCTGCAGAGGGTGGTGATGGAACTGCTGTGGACTCTGGGCCTCCAGGTGGCCCTTCCAGGGTGGGATTCAGGGAGTGGATTGCCTTTTCCAAGCCAGAGCTGGAAAGTTAAAGAAGGATCCAGTTTCCCTCTCTTCCCGTTTTGAGCAGACCTGCTATCCAAGGAGGAGGGGGAAACAGCAAAACGTGGCTGGACGGCTTGAATGAAGATTGGCGCAAGGCTTGCCTGCTCTGCAAGGTCTTGGGGCTTGGCACAGCAACATCTTGGACCGTAGCAGCTCTGGGGACTATTGTGCATATTAGAAGGAACTGAAAAAGAATCGCCACCACCACTATCCTGCCTCGCCGATGCACAATTAATATCTTCCTTTGGCCCTAGGTCATCACATCCATCTGCTGCTTGTCAATTGCCTGTCGGATGCGGACTAAGTGCAAGCGTCACTCCTTTCTCCCTCTATGCCAACACATGAACCCCTCTCTGTATCTAGGTGCCCAGGGATCCTTCCTTGTGGAGATAAAGCTAGGGGTGGGAGGAGAGAATGACCTTCTATTGATCTTATGTGTGTGTTGAAAGAAAGAAAATAAGGGGGGGGCGGGGGAGTCTGTGAAATGTTCAGTGTTATTAAAGAGAACCTATTTATTAATGAAAATATAATGCAGATTAACGGTCTTATTCAAAGGGCTTTCTTCTTTGTCACCACCTCTCGTCTGCTCTCCCCATGATAGAAGGAACAAAGACAAAACTATTTTACAAAACTTCAAATTTGATTCCGTTCCCTCATCTCCAAAAGTGGGGGGGGGGGGTTGGTTCCTCTTCTAGCTTTGGGTCAAAGTCTTAAAGTAATCTTTAGCATTTCCAGATGACTCTGGCAAGAAACTCTGGGAGCTACCTTTAGTCAATCAAAGAAAAGGAAATCAGCTGGATCTAGGATAGGCAATACATGTAACTCTTAAATTCCAATGCCCATCAATCCTAGTCTTTTTGGCCAACAGGGAAGGATGCTGGCAGTTGCAAATCAATAGCTTTTGGGAGGCTGCCTTGTTTTGGTTCCTGAAACAAGCTTTTTATTTCAGCCTTGTATTCCCAGGCCAGGATTAGATTTGGAGATCTATTCTGCAAACGCTACTATGCTGAAGGTCCCTGACTTCAAGTAGTGATCTTTAATTTAAACTGCATATCCTTTCAGTATGGTGGTCATAAACTGCCCCAGTCGTGGTTGTGGGCTGGTTTTAATGGACAAACTGAGCCTTTATCCAGTAGCATCTGAATTATGTTTCTGTTTGCAGTGATCCTGTGAATGCTAAGGGCCCCATGGAATCTGAAGACTTTAAAATGCCAAATTGATACAACCACCACAGTAGGACAAATCCTTTGGTTCTGGAAAAAAAACACATTGCTGCTTCTATCATATCAGCCTATCTACTAATTATATATTTATTTAGATTTTATTTTGTTGAGTTCAAAGCATATCTAGCGTGCACACACACACACCTGTATTTCCCCAAGACAATCCTGAATGTTTATCATGGAAGAGGCCACTTTTGTTTGACAAGTACAGGTAGTCCTCGACTTACGACCACCATTGAACCCAAAATTTATGTTGCTAAATGAGACATTTGTTAAGTGAGCTTTGCCCCAATTTATAACCTTTTTTGCCAGAGTTGTTAAGTGAATAACTGCAATTGTTAAATTAGTAATGCGATTATTAAGCGAATCTGGCCTCCCCATTGACTTGGCTCGTCAGAAGGTTGCAAAAGGGGATCACGTCTTCAGGACACTGCAGCCGTCATAAATATGAGTCAATTGCCAAGGGTCTGAGTTTTGATCACATGACCACAGGGATGCTGCAATGATTGTAAGTGTGAAAAATGTTCATAAATCACTTTTTTCAGTGCTGTTGTAACTTTGAACGGTCACAAAATGAACTGTTGTAAGTTGAGGACTACCTGTGGTTCTTGGCAAGCTGATCTAAAATGGTTGCTTATTTGGATGTGGGACCAGGTCTTTTTTTCTCTCTCTAATGGCTTATTATTATTTTTCTTTTGTTTCAAAGCAGTTGCTGATGCCTGATACTCATCTGCCAATGGTTAAGCTTCATTATCCATTAGAAATGTTTTGCAACATACCTGCAGACTGAAAAGGGTAGAAATGAATGTGTCACAGAAGAGCAGTGTTGTTGGGGTTTTTTAACTTTACATTTTGATGAGGTCCTTTTCACAAAGATGTTACACATTTCTTCATTGTAGTAGGTGCAAAGTCTGTTGGCCAAATCTGTCCGATTTCAGTGATGCCCTGCTCAAATAGAAAGTGTACCTGACAGTAGGACAAGTGCTTCGCTGTTATTGAGCAGATCAAACTTGGCAGAAGATGTTATTGCTAGACTGAAGGCGTCTCCTAACTTGAATGCATATATAAAGCTTATGTAAACTTGCTGAATTAGGCTCAATTTATGACATGGCCATGCAGTTCCCATGACAATGACATGGTAGATTGCCAATGCCTTTCAGGATACCTTTTAAATTTTTGAGTCCAGCCCACTGTTTCTCAACCATGACAACTTTATGAAGTGTGGAATTCAGACCCCAGAATTTTCCAGCCAGCAAGGTGGTGGAGGATTTGAAGAGTGAAGGTCTACAGACCTTAAAATTGCCAAGATTGAGAGCACTGGGCTAACCTGTAAATCTGGAATTCTAATCCTGCTTAGCTCACCCAGACAAGTTCAGAAGAGGTCAAAAATATAGTTGAATGTTGGTGGCAAGAGCATACTCCTTCATTAGAAGATGCCTTTCCTAGCTAATATAAGGTGGTTCAGGCAGACAAGCTGCAGTTACACATTGAGAACCTCAGATCTCCATATGCTGAGGGCACTATAAAAAGGTTACCTTTTGAGCATCACTTGTAGGCTTAGGTTATAGCAGTTCCAGGCAACAATAATACTAGAAGGTGCATGTTTTCTAGTGATCTTTGAATTCATTAGTCTTCCTCCATCTACTACCTTCTAGATGTCTGAACTTCAGATCCTAGAATTCTCAGCAATGCCTGGGTTGGCTGGAAATAGTAGTACTCAAAATCCATTCAACTAAAAGTTGCTCAAGTTGAGGAAGGCTGGCCCAGCTGAAGAATCTGCTTGATAAATAAAATCTATTTAATATTGCTAAAAGCTATGCAACTAAAAGACCAAGCCTTGAATTCTGCTTCTCTTATTACATTGTCTTTGTTTGCAAAATGCAATATGGAAGAACAAGTACTTTGAAGTACTTTAAACCTGAGAACCTGTTCCTGGTTTTTCCAACCAGTTGAGTATTTTAAACTAGTAGAACCAAAGGTAATTCTGCAGTCCTAGCACATCTGGAAAAGCCATTAGATCGCAGAAGCCTAAGTGAGTTGAATAATGCTCCTACTGTCAAAATCACTAGTAGTCACCTTCCCTCAAGCTAGCCTTTGAAGGCAGCTATTTTTTCTCACCTGTATTTTGTAACCTTTGTGTTACTGTATGGTTGTGCCATATTGTAACTGTAGGTTTTGAGAAAGTAGACAGGGTGACTAGCAGAATCTGAATTCTACCATGCCCAATAAAATGGTGGGTTTACTTTAGCCTTCTTGCAGACAGTAATAAAATGTAGCCACTTTTATTACATTTTTAGAAGCTGGAGTTTAAACCTATTAATTCCCCAGGCTTCCATCCTACTTACAAGCTGAATATATTTTTTTCTTTCTGCAGCACAGTTAATCTGCTGTTGTGACACAGCACCACATCTGAATTACATTTGAATTATCTTCTTGCTGTTGCAGAGTTGTGCTTGGTAAATAAAAGTATATTTTATTTGAAATCAGAATATATTGTATTTAATATACATCCTCATTTTGTGAAAGCTTTGAGACATTTTCCAGGAAGCTGACACAATTCTATTTCCATTGAAAAGAAAAAAAATCTAAAATTCTATCAGTGACAATGACAAGTATTTTCTTGGGTAGGAATGGAATATATTCTCACCTCTAAGAGGGAATCAGAGATGACAAAAAAAAAGTCTGAAGACTTCATCTTGCCTCAGATCCAAAGTTCTAATCATCTACATCAGACATGTCAAACTCGTGACATCACGCGACATATCAGCTTTTTCTCCATTGGCGGCAATGGGGTGGGTGCGGTTTCCGGGTGACACATCCAGCCCGTGGGCTGGCAGTTTAACACCCCTGATCTACACCTTTGCTGGCTTGTCCTATACTACACTAGCTAAGCGTTAACACAAAGCATCCTGGACTTTATCCCCTGAGTAAGCAGGTGCCTGCAATCACATCCTCCCTATGAAACTTTCATGTGGATTTAGTTTAGTTCACAAAATGGGTGTACACAAGTGGATTGTGGGAAAGAAGACTGATCATAGCAGTTTCCATGGGTGTAACTTTACCCTGAGTTAAATCCATCAAACAGTCCCATGTTATGAACTGTGCTAGATTAGATCAGATGGATTTTTGAACATAGGGAGTAGCAAGAAGGTGATGCATCTGATTTGTATGACCTGCTTTTCATCTCCTAAGTTAGTTTGCTCCTATTGGACATAATGGAGGATTCTGTCTTGATACCAGCCCATCTCCTTGACTTTTGCTTCAGGCAGCAAAGTTTCTTATTCCAGCCCAGGGGGCCGGCAAAAGTGAAGAGATCCTAATTTCCAGACAACGGATGCTCTAGCATGTTTTGTTGGAACTGAAAACAAAAGCAAATAATACAGCTAAGTAAAGAAGTCATGTCAAAAGCTGATAACTCCTGTCAGTCAAGAGGTACCAGAGGGCTCTCAGACTGTCTATCAGTCCAAAAGCTATTGCATTCATTGTTCCATTCAACCTTTATAATATAGTTGGTCTCAGTGCATTTAATGAAGTGATATTTCTGTGGAAAATATGGCATTTGGCTGCAACTCAAGAGAAATATTGATTTTTTAAAAAAAAATTTATGGGTTATATTGCAATAAAGCATAAAAAGAATATACTTTTAATTTAATTTATGGTTAACAAAATCACAGAGTAGTTATAGAAAGCAAAATAAAAACAAATTCCACCATAGAGTCAGCTATTCTACCTTTGAGTCCTATTGTAGCATTGCTATGACCACATTCATGTCCTTCAATTACATCAAATTTGTTCTCTGATGAAATC